ATATGGCATTTCAACATATTTTACACCAAATTACATAGCAAAGCGTTTTAGTAGTACTTCTACAGATAGGGACAATGAAGCCTGCCACCGAACACCGGTGGAGATCAACAATGAAAACGTCTACGTATCCTGCTTATGCTCTCCTCCTCTATTTCCCCGTTTCAATCTTTCTTTCTTTCTCCCTTCTTCTAATGTTATGGTTTTTCCCTTTAATTTACAACGTATGTTTTTTCTCTCTATGGTAATATTTTGGGCCTATTCCACCGCTTCTACAGTACATATTTCTATAATTTGCATTATTATAGTTTTTAATGTCAGCTTACCACGAGATAATGACTCAGCATTCTATTTGCTGCCTTTAATATATCGAAATAGGACTTACAGAGCCATACTCTGTAAGTTCCGCGTTTTTAAAAGCATGCAACCTTTTTTTAATCATAACAAGCATATCATACTGCTAAACAAATTTGACGGAATCCAAACTGGGTTTCCCAAATAACATGCATTTTGTCGTAGGCCATTTGCTTACTGCTACGAAAAAATGTCTACATAACGCGGATCAGGTGGAGGCCTAACCGGAAAATTGACGCAGTTCATTCTTATCGGAATGACGTTTCCTCCGGGCTATTCGACAGGTCACGACCGTTGAACCCGCTCGTGGCCTTATTTTTCTTCCTGCCTCGTTTAAGTTTATTCGACGTTCGGAGCAAAATCACACTCATAGAAAAGAGACAAACAAGGTCAACCACAATATATGTATGCACAACCGTCGTAATAGTTCCTGGTGCCGCGACTCAACAATTGTCTTTCCTCGACATAGTAATTATTTTACGCTATGCAACTATGGCAACAATGAAGACTATGACTTCAACTCGTGTTAGCTTGCGCTGCACTCATCATTATAGGACATGATACGGCCTGTCACAAGTGTTCACAGATTTTTAATCTATCGTACAGTCGAAATATAATAAGGACCAAAAAGCACTTCATCTTGTTAGATTAGGCTTTAATTAGTCCTAAGAAGATTTTTCGACTTTCGTTGGAAGGCCATATTTTTAATATATATATTTCTTAGTGATACACAAGAGTATACCATAATTATTCGAAAGGATCGATCAGAAAACCGCTAACTCGGATGGTTGTTATTATTATTATATTATATATATATATATATGTATAGCCAGATTGAATGCTGGAACTATATAGTTAATGGGCCTTTCTAAATTTCAGTCGAAAATTTCAACAGTACATAAAACGTAAGATAATCTCCCTAAAAAGAAGTTCCGTAGGTTCCACTCAAAGAAGCAGAGATAAATTATATAATATTGTGTTCCTTATGCCACTCCTGTTCTGAAGACCCACTGTGATACACACAGAAGTGGTTATTTCTTTGTTTCAACGATACTTGTTTATTGACCGTCCGTACCCTCTGGCGCGAAAAACGGCGTTTTAAATTAAATAATTAGTTTTCAGTGATCACTGGAGAGCACCGCAAGGAGTTTGTAGGACGATCCATAATAATCTATCAACTTTATTCGTTTTTGGTCCTATTTTCTGGGGCTTAGGAGCCAAAATCTGTTTGTTAATGTTCAACATTACATCTGTATCTTCTCATACAAAGCTAGTACGCAGTTAGTTATAATCTATTTGTCTTTCTTCGTGTTGGTTGTGAAGAAAGGAAACATTTATCATAACAATTACCGCCTCCAATGCCGAATCAACAGTGGCACTTATTACTGCTATGCATCTATTTCACACCTCGTTGCTTTAACTTGCCCATTAAGATGGAGGTAGCGTTGTATCTCGTCTGGTAAGACTAATCATTGATTAATTGACCCAAGTATCGCTCGCTTATCATCCGCGATTAACACGAATATTGATCTCAACTCCTCCCGTCAATTCCAATCTTTCCCCTTGGAAGCTTTTGTCACTACGATAAGCCTGCGCCTTGGGGGCGAGCAATATATGTATACTGTTTTAATCTTACGATAAAAAAGACTCTATTTTTAGTTACCGATTCGAACAACTATAACGAAGGCTGCCATAGTCGAACGATCAACTGTTTATCAGTAATTGACTACATACGATCTGGATAGCACCCTTTAATCGGCTAGGTTTGTAAGGCCAACGCTCTCAGCAGGTAACCAGCATCGCGAAAGATATTAGTAAAAGGTATGTGAAACCATGGTAGAAGAAAATCGGTTTTCGCCATTATTGAATCTTACGCTAATGAGCGTAAAGGAAGAAAGGTACGAATGGGTGGGTCATCGGTGATGTATACATCAACTTTCAACTGAATGCATCGATTGGTTGGTAGCAGCAGGCAGCCATGGTGCCCCAGATACTGGCTACCGTGGTGCATCATTCGTCTGCGAGATATGAAGGCGCATGCAGGCGGGGACGGAAGGTTCCGAGTTACTGCACAAATGAACTTGAACATGAACTGGTTCATTGGAAGTTCCATAGAAGCCAAACTTCCCTCTTCAATCCGTATCTTATTAGAAGGAGCCTGATTCAACAATCTATCTGAAAAGAAAATCGCATTGAGAATAAATCAAGTATAAAAGGTGTTCCAAAGTTTATGCTTTCGCTTGTTGTCATTTTGTTGTTATAGGACGCGTATTAAGGTCTACCGATGCTATGTATCGTTCTTGCTGCAACATTCCCATTGAGCCTAGCTTAAATACAAGTTCTGACAAATAAGTTCATTGCATTTCCGAGAAGGCACTATATAATGATGCAGCCAGATGTTATTCGAGTACTTCGCTGGCCCAATGTGCATTTGGTTGGCAGCGAATGGAAGGGCAAGTTCAAACGAAAAACTTATGTGGTTTGACTTTTTTTTTTTTTTTTTTTGCTTTTTTATAAAACTAAGATTCGCTGAAAAGCAATTGCACTTAATGTCGCAATAAGCTTAATGTCGTGGCACATTGGGGGTTAATAAGGAAATTACTGAGTGTCAGTTGAAGATTGAACATCACCCCATGGCTGTGAGTCCGAGTTTCTGTTACATTAAAATTCAATTGTAATGAATGAAAAAGCTATATATCTTACTATTACTTACTATTTGTATTTTATATATTACATATTATAATACATAAATAAATTATTATAATAACTTAATAATATAAAAAAATTAAACCTAGCATCATCAGCAAAGGTGTCTACTCTGGGCTTTTGGTAATCTAAAAGAGTTACGAGTCGATTGAGTGCCATTAGAGATTATTGGGTTTGGAAGCATAGATATCAATGCTCAGCGAGGACACTGGCAGAATCTAAGACGAGTAAAACACTGGGCAGGGATGCCTTTAGCGCAAACACGGTTTTCACTGATACATTCATTTGAAGCACGGAAATTAAGAAAGTCGAACCTACAGAAGCTAACCCCCTACTGCGCTCCCTGTCAGCCCTCAATATGGAATTTCTTAAAGCATTTGTTTTAAAATCGAATCTAAAATAACGAGTCGAGCGCAAAGAACGAATACAAAAAATAGGTTCCCTGAGAAGAAAGAACTGAGTTCAGAGCAGATGGACTCCCCTTCTGGTGTACAGAAAAATCCGCCTGGAGCATACTAGGCAAAAATTAGGTGAAAAGCACCTCTGTAGCTGACGCTTATCAAGAACATTTGTTATTAACGGGACATTATCTGAAAAGGGAACGGTAGGTAGATAAACTTTCTGAAGAGATTGACGAATTTGTGACACAACACTCGACAAAACACCGTGCGCTTAGTCAACTGTAACACGTAACGTACTCGTTGAGCTCTGATCAAGGCGAGAAAAATAGAATAGTGCGGTGATTTCAGATACCGATAACGAATTGAGGTGAAGTCATGTAAATAGTCGTTGATAAACGTCCAGAAAGCTGATTTCAAGTTATGAACGGGAGCAGACATAACATAACATAAATTAGGATATCTCTGTATTACCTGAAATGATTTAGTTTCGCCATGCTAGACGACTCCTAACAATCAGTACCTTTGTGACTGGTCATTCTTCATACCGGAGAACGGAACGAACGTTTTCGTCCGATATGGGCGTTATTATTACCGAAATTATCATTCGCAGACAACCACACGATTCCTAAGGAGTAGCGATCATATTTTTTTTCTATACATTTTGATATATAATCGTAAAATGATACTTTGGTGCCCATTAGAACAGCGTCTTTTTTTTTTATCCATGACATCAACGGAAGTAGTCACTATACTGGAATATTAATAGTCTCCGTCGAATCGAAAAAAATAATTTTCATATCGGATTTTGCCACTCTAGTTCATGAGATAGCAAGTGTAAAAATAGAATTAAACCTTTTCGCACGGAAAAAGGCTAGGTCCATATCCTTGGATGCTGACCCAGGCTTTTTAGGTCTAAGTTGGCATAAAATGTGAACCTGGATTTTTTCAGGAAGGCCCTTTGTAAACAATATTATCGTGCTTGTGAGCTACAAGCTGCTTTCAAAGATGAGCTTAAAGGCATAAAACACAAGTTAGAGCATATCGTTTTAATTTTTTGCGCGCCAATTTGGCAAGGCCACTTGATTTGAACTATGCTTTAGTTCCTTGAGAACCCAGTATATTGGGTTATGCAAAATAAATGTAGAACGTCGATGAAAATCGTGATTTTTTTCAATTCAGCGGCAGTTATTAATGTCATTTTTCACAGCCGCTAGTTTAGAAAATATTGTTTAGGATGTGCCACGTTCCTATTCGGCCCAGTTGAACTTTTCTTGCCACATCCATTGACCTGAGCTGAGCCTGCTATAAGGTTTATGGTGACGTAACGTATGGTCGACAACCAAGGCCCGCGTAAAATCCGTTGAAGGAACCACAACAGGGCGACATACAGCATTTAAGTGAAGCTGCTGATGTTTAAGTCTTATAATCTGCTTTGGTATTAGTAAGTATTGTAGATAAATTAGACATGGTTATATATATATAACGACTAGGCTATTGAGGTCCGAGCCGTTAGCCGGCATATTACCAGTTTTTACTCAATGACCTAGTTCTTTATTATTCTATGAAGGCTACAAAGCTACGCGCAACCAAATACATAGAGAACAACGAAATCCCTAGACCTCGAGATCGGCTGAACCCCTGGAAGTCCTGCTCGATTACAAATGATGGAGGACAAGACCGTTCAAATTGGCGACACAGACAGACCACCTCCGATGCAAACGTTAACACCATTGCTGAAGTCGTGTCGTAGTTTACATGGTCCCCAGCAGATTTAGCCTGAAGCACTAGTGTTTACGGAAAGATAGTTGCCTAAAAAGGGAGGCCAGACGAATGTTGCCGAGAGTGGTTTTTCGTCGTCAGCGAGTCGTCAGATATGGGCCGTAAAGACCCAATACAAGAAAGGCGTCGGGACCGCTAAGCCGCCGGGACGGTCATTACAAAGGGCACAGCCGCACAGGGGGACACGAGAATGATGCTTATAACGATACCCTAGTGTAACATCCGAGAATAGTGAATAGCTGTTGGGTTGGTCAAGATTAAAGGCACAAGTTGCCAACCGAATGCGAAGCGTTGTACGACGTACTGGCATACATAGCGCCAACGTAGTAGACTACGACAGGACCTGAAGGGTGAGTCAGATTAGCCTTTCGAATTTATCGTATTTAGACTTGCTATAGCAAGCCTGGCCTACTGTGCTTCATTTTTAAACAAGACGCTTGGCAAAAAATTCCTATATGCTAAAAAGAAAGAGCTTATGCGTTGGAAAGCACATAGTTTAATTGGCATGAAACTTGAGCGATTATCATAAACGTTGGAGATATTCTAAATATTATATCTTTAAATCGATGCCTACCCAAACGATTATAGAAATATGCGCCGCACCGAAATAGGCCTATATGACTTCGGGAGTCTTTTCATCGTTAGCCCAACGTTGCCCCGCAAGAGCAGATCTGTTAGGCAATATATTAACGAACGTAAGTCAGTTCTGTATCAATCGTGGCCATAACAAGTGACAGTTGAGCACATAAGCTTGCCGTGAATAACTGAGAACTTAACTGTCAAGAAATTACTCAACTGTCTACCATAATACAAGTTGCATGATACGAACTATTCAACAATTTATAACTTAATAATATAATCACCAAGCTAAATTTCTCCAGATTAAAAAATTAATTCCAGACTTAAGCGGTTAGTGAAAAATAATGATAGTAAACTTGTTTTGAGTAAATTTTTTTTGTTGCCCAAGATACCTTGGGGTCAATGTAAAAACTGGGTTTTATTACGTTCTTTTGCAGGACATAAAGTAATCAAAAATGAATAGATATTCTAACATAAATTAAATAACACACTTAATCCGACAACCATCTGAAACAACCAAAGCTAATTTGGCTGTGCCCTGAAAACCACTTGATATAAACATTACTACAAGTAATTCCTCTAAGTAAATTTGACCGCATTTTTAAAGTTTTGCTATGGCGCATTGTACTGTTTATGGGATAACGTGGCGCTAGTCTGAAAGAAGACAGTTTGTCCATAATACAAGCTTATACAAGTATGTGTTATTACATTGCTTAGTGTTCTGTCATTATTTGTTATAATGTTGGTTGTATGTTGCATGTGAAGACTCATCTTTCCACACAAATCTCTCCTTTCAAATCGCTGAAGCCGCTCTTTGTTATCTTGCGTAAATAATATATAAAACTAGCTCTTTTTTCAACACACATCTATACAAAAACATTCATGCTAAGCCATGTTGAGTAATATCTTTCCTCAGCTTAGTAATCAATAATATACAACTTTTTTACTATATATATTACTACAACTTTTTTGTTTTTGTTCTTCTTCTGGCGTGACGCACAGCTTTTCGTTTTTTTCAAAAATATTGCTTTTTTTTTTTAAAGCTTAACTCTTTTTTATAACCTAAGTAGAATACGTATAGACCAAAGAAGCAGCTTTCTATTGGTGTGCAGCGTTTAATTATCAAGATACAACAGGTTAGGGGACCTAAGCATCAAAAAAAACAGCGGGAGCGAATTGGCCAATATAATAAAACGCATTTAAAAATTAATTCAGTCGATTTGGACCAAACTTAATGAACGACTCGAGACCAATCTATTTGCAGCACTAATTTTGCTACCTTGATTCTATGGATCATAGGTTCGTCAGTCAGCAAAATTGAAAAAAAAAAGTCCTTTTCGCTAAATTTAAAAAATTCATATTGTTTTGGAAAATTATTACACTTTCCCAATGTTTCTATAAAGACGTATTGGCTGGTGTTTCTCAATTATCATTAACAAGATTTGCTTATAAAACGAGACTTCTCTCGTTTTCATTGTGACAGGGGAAGTATATATTTCGAGACAGTTAGCAGAAGTACGTATCATATTTTGACTCATATTTTGACGTTTTATACAGACACGATAATTTCGAAGACGATATAGGTTTTATAGCAGAGTAATTATATAGTGACGTATTCCGGTATATATTATTGTATTTACTATTCTTCAGTGAAACGTTTCAACGGATCAAGCAGAGTGCATATGTTTGGTGCAATTTCCAAGCAAAAAGCATGCATGAGTGAAAAATCTATGAAGAAATTAAAAGAAGAGTGATATGGCTTACTTTATTAAGCGAGTGACCTGTATTGAAGGGTGGAGCGCGGTTAGGAGGAAGATCCTTCCTGACTAGTTAATATGTTGTCAAGCTCAGCTTGAACAACCCCGATTTGATTGACGAAGAGCATGCCCGAACAAACCGGTGGAAGCCGAGATCTGGCCCATAGTCCAATTGTTGCTCTAAAATACTACTTATAGCTTTTATCCAAAGGGACCAGGCAGGCAATGAACTCTAGCTACGATCGACGTGGATCCCCAAAATGTCTCGAGCCGACATGGTTATTACATGCTTTACATATTGCACTTTGTTAGTTGACAATTTCATTCAACAAAGAATTTGGCCCTTCTTTTCTCTTCGAAGGCCTACATTAGATTAAGATAGTAATACTAACTAAAGTAGTACTAGGAAGACATAGCATTAACCTAAGGGTCAATACTTTCCTCTGCCAGGGGCGCCCCTAATCAGGGGCTATTACACTGAATACGAATGCTATATTCTTATTCAATGTAATAGCATCCAGATACGGCACTGAGTACTCAAGACAACAAAAGGCCGATCCGAGGTATCTAATTGCTACACCTTGTTGCAGGTGCCTGCTTGAAGCAGATGCAACGGTCATCCGTAAGGTTGGTTTACAGAACCATATACCTTAGGAACCCTAGATTCGACAGAACGAAGGAAATGATCCCTACTAACCGCACTGGATGCGTTCCTAAATCCAATTTCACAAGCATTGTTGGCTCGGATCTGATGGCGTCAGATGACCATGGCCGTATGTGGCCGCAGTGTTGGAACCTGCATATTTCACTGGTGAGCGGTTTGCCTTTGGAGTAGGGATGGTCGATTGTTATTGTATATATTGCCGAATCGGTTAGATAGCAGGTTCGGAAGGAGCAACAAGGAGGTTTTTGCGAGTAAAGGATGGCGCAACATTCACATGTAGCGGATACTGTACAAGCATTGCCACAGGCACTCTATCTAATCCCAATTGCCAAATCGCCCGGACAACGCATCACATGAAATTTCGTGTGCAGTGTTATATACTCAATAACCTATAAGAAGTACAAGACCTGAAGAAGAGCTTCGTAGTATGCCCCTGTAATGATAATACCCTACTTTAACCTAATCCTTATTGTCAGAAATACAGGACGTGAACCATTCCCATCCCTGTAAGCTTTATACGTAATCCTGTTTTCATGTTATGTCATCTCTGATAATAATAAATTGAAAGCTATAGCTGCTGAGTATACATTCAGTTGGACACTTCGTCCTTCGTAACTACGCGTAATGACATCGACCATGGCACAAACAGCTAACCCCGGAAAATATGTATATACTAAATCTGCAACATATTGGTTAAAAGCTAGCGTGAATTAGAGAATCATTGGACGATACTTCGATTGATTTATATTGTTTCCTTTTCGATGGTACAAAGGTAGCACAGGGTAAAATTATCAGGAACCAGGTAGCTGTCCAGTTATTCTCAGAGTACAATAAGGAGATGTCGATCGGTTTTTTTGTTTTAGAACCCAATTCCTCCTGAAATAACCTGCGATAACCTAGCATTCGTTTATTCCTTTCAAGCAATACATGTTTATTGCTTCAGTAATTCAAATTTTGAATAAGGAAACAACTATTCTTCCACGTTCAGCATGAGTTATACTGATTTTTGGACATGGCGAAATAAACGTAACTGAATATCTCATGGAATACTCTACATGGATACTTATTTTACTTCATTCACATCAAAACGCATAAGCCAAAATGATTGTTAGACACGTGTGCCTGAACTACAATAGCAGTAGGTATCAAATCGAAGCGAAGGTCTAATCTAAACAAAGGCGTTCTGTTATCGGAAGCAACAGTGGGAGCTATAAGTGAGCATTCAAAAAGAAGTATTAATCTTCTATCGCTAGCCACTAATGGTAGGGTGGGTTAATGTCTCTAGTCAGGCTACGCCAAGAATTACTCCATTTGTATTTGTACAATGAACGTATAAGACGCCAAAAAAAGCGCCTTTTCAAGATACGAGGGTTCAACTGAACCGTCGTACCTTGATCTTTGTCCTTGAAACAAGCCAGGAAGAAAGGTGGGTATAGCATCCATATTTGCGTATTTTTCAATCCTTGCGATATAGGAAAACCACTGTATGTCTGGACAAACTACTATTCAAAATGGCCTTCAAGCAAATACACAGCATATAGATTTTGTTTATTTGTCAGATTGAATTTTATAATTGACATCCCTTACGTGGATGTAATGCTAACTAATGCAAAACGCTGATAGAGAAAACTTTTAAGCTTCAACATATATCAGGTCTGCGCAAGGAAATCAATCGTCCGAGAAGTAGTTTAGCTCTACCTTGCGATTCGGCTATAAACAGAGCAGCAATGCATCCCGAGTCTCTTTGCTCAGAAAGCATAGCCTTAGCAACCTTCAATGGTAATGCTGTTAGTTGCAAGGATGATTTAATGGTTTCATTATAGTCGAGAGGGAAATAAAAATGGACTCCCTATACGTTAATAGGTTTACGCTGTTGTTTACGGTCACGGTTTTTTAAGGCTTTAAAAAACATCGCGATAAATTTTTGATCAGTTCTGATGATAAATCACTTAAAATATGAATATTCGGCAAATTAATCTCTATCGATTCATATGCAAAAATCTATCCTGAGAATTTATGCTATAGGTATCGTGCACTCCGTATCACGCAGTGGCGAGTATGATTAATCAGACGATCAATAATAATTTTCTTAAGGTAGTGAAAAGTAAAGCTTAATAAGACCTATACTCACAGAGAACTAAACCAGCCTAAAGCTAAAATGCTGATAGCCTGCTGACTGCAGCAATTATCTTTTTAATTACTGAGATCCCTTAGCGTTGTTCTTTGGGATCAGTTTAGTGGAACTCTAACCTAGTCGCCCTTGCTGCTCCTTTAGGAGCTCTAGGGACTTCAGCTAGCTTTTTCCATATTTTCGCTCTGCTGCAGTCTGTCCTTCGCACTTCGCACATTTCAAAATGCATCCCAGACAATAGACTCCCGTCACGATATTCAGCCTTGCGTGAGAAACTGCTTCTTGGGGTTGATCAGTCTTAGTGAAAGGTGGTCTACAGTGTAGGCCTCAATAGACGTTACCTATTATTTTCGACTATTGTCAAAATACAACAGGTAATTGATTACAGGGTTTCCAAGAGTCTAAGCCGTCGAATCTACCACCAGACGGTGAAATTAATGAATAGAAGTTAGGACAGCTAGAACGTTTACTGTAATTGTAACTCAATACAGGATTTGGGGTTGTTTTATTTGACTGTCAGTGAAATTATTTGATACGATGCTCAACGCGGTTTCAAACCTTCAACCAGTAACCACTTGAATATTGTTTAATATACTCTTCCCCAGGTATTATATTTAGCATGAATGCCTACCGAGGAAAGTGAAGTAATAATGAAAGAAATTCACGCTGCAAAATTAAAAGCAACCACCTCGCCGTCAAGATCGTTAAGCCACTTCATCAGAAAGGCCTTGATAGCTTTTAAATAGGATAAACGCAAGCCCTGAAAATATTAGACGGATTAGTTAAGGTTGTCTATCATAGACATATACTAAATCAATAGGGTGTTTCAATAGGTTAGCGAGGTATCATACAAACCCTGCTCAAATAAACATCGATTTGTCATTATGTAAGATTTGCAACAACATCGATTATCCTTGGTTAACCTAAATCTCGTTGCCGCTGTTCTGCATAGTAGCAACTCATTGCCGAAACATCGACATTGCTAACAATACAAAAGGACCCGCGCTACCTTGAACGATAAATTTTTTTTGCCATTTTTCAGAGAGAGATTTCTTATTATGAAATTTATACATAAAAAAAATTAAATAAGAAATATATTTAATAGGAGATCGTAATTATTTATACATCTCAATTATAACTATATAAAGTATATATAGTCGTATCTGTTCAGGTTTAGTTAAACGTTTGTCAGCGACGAGCACCACTTTTCCGCAACGAGCTACTATTACCAGTTAAATCAATATGAATTTCGCTAGCGAACAGTTTTCGTAGAGCTTTTCTAGAAAGCTCTGTAAAAAGCTGCCTATGTCAAAACACATCGAGTTCTCGGTACTACGGTACATTTCTACTACAATTTATAATTTTTCGTCAACTGAGGGTAACAAAAGCGTCTTACGTTATAAGGCCTTAGACGTAATTCAAGCTATGTCTGACAGGCTCTTTTTTACGACCAATGATATTGGCGAGAATTCAGGACGATGAATTTCTTCGCTATTGAAGGATTACACGTTGAACGCTAAGACAGCGATTGGTGTAGCCATTCCGCACAAATCACCAGATCACTTCGGCTAGCGGAACTATTAACGTATCGAGGCGACGGAACTTCGCTAAAGTCAAACCGTGGAATGAATGGCTTTGTTTGAACTAGCTGGTGGGTCTTATCCGTCGTCGTGAAGCCCTCGGACAGTTAATCTCACCTTAAGTCTATTCGACACTCCCACGGTGGAGCTCATATATATTCGCTTGGATGCATGAGGCTGCGATAGAGGCAACGCTATTTAATCCTTCTGCCCGCGTATAACCGTTGGTCAGCTCCTCTGAGAAGACTTCTGTGACTCGTCTAGCTACATGTCTTTCGATGGCAACAGTTTGGCAAAAGAAAACCTCCCATCGACTCGGTAGTCGAAGTAACTGCTCAGACACAATAGTTACTATTGATAGCTTCGAGTACGCCATCTACTGGGAAGCCTAGAGCTCGGCAACAAGGTAAGGGATGCTCGAAATCAAAGCTGTATGCAGATACATACCCTTGTACACGGATAGATTATATTATCATGGGTTAGGGCTGTTAAATAATATTCTGAATAGGCTGTGTGCAGAACCTTCAATGTAACATCCAATGATGACTTTCCATTACGTAGGAATAGCTTTCAGCCATGCCTATATAGGACACAAATAGTCTGTCTGACTTTTTGCACTGCGTTACGGTCCTAGGTATCAATGTTTGTTCTAAGGCCATCCGGATATAACAAGCTTTGTGACAAATTGCTTATCATTTGCGTGCTCTTTGCCTCATTATTTAAAATCTGTTATAGTGAGACATGTAGAGCCAACCAACGTACGTTTCATGCTATGGCTATTTCAGGCTCATCTCATGCCAAGCTAGGTAATAAAGGGAAACTCGCACATCGCAAATCTACAAGATCATAAACTGGTTTTTTTACTCTCGACAATTTCAACACTATATCGTGACTTGGGACTAATGACACGTGTGCTACATTTCAAGAGACACATGAGGGCCATCTGTAGCAAGTTGAACTTCGGACTCCCTTTGTTTCATTGTACTATAGTCTCCTGTATTCTTTCGCCAAGCAATATTAAGCATTTCAAACTGCTATGAACATTTGGTGCTTACTAAGTATAAGTACAGCTGTATATGGAGCGTAAAACTATCTGGCTATTGATAACCTGTTTCGTTCTTGTCCACCAAACTGGACAATTGCGTGTTGAGTCGTTGTTTCAGCATTCGAATATTAAGGAATTAGTGGCTTGTTTAAGGTAAAGTAGACCGATCTCACCTGTTGGACGCCTATAGGGGGTGCATGCCGTACTAGACCGCATCCTCCGAGCACCTCTGATAGCCTAACGAGCGAAGATTTGGCAGAGGAGGTCGCGGCCTTCATCTCAGGCGCCGTTCTCTACGAGCGTATAGTTAGTTTTGAATAATTAAATTCGCTGAAGCAATCATTGAATTGCATAAAAAGCTACGATGAGCTATAATGCACCTGTTACAATGATAGCAATTAGTACACGATCATTTACAATAAATTATATAAAATATTGTTTAAGCGAAATAGAAGAACCGAGTAAGCAGCTGTGTGTGAAGAAATGACATTAGTAGATTCAGTGTTATCTATGAGGCTTTTTCTTCTCTTTTCGAGCGCTGTACAACTGGAAAAATGATCTGTTCAATTCAATATACCATAACATGTCGTCTTGTACAATATGGCATAGTAGAAGGATATTGGTTGTACGATGACAAGGAATAACGGGCATGAATGAGGTTGAATAGGGACGATTTCCATTAGAACTTTGACACGGTCGAGCGAATCTTCAACCGGGATATCTCGTTCTCTCCAATTTGCACCATTCCGGAAATTGTTATTTAACTCTAAGCAGTCAATGGCGGTTCTATTCCGGTGAACTCGTATCATAAGGTAACTTGCTTTGATAACTTTATTACATTAATGGCCGGCAGTATTGTGCGAACGAGGAGGCGGGATAGTGTAATGATATTTGCTTTATATATATATATATATAAGATTCTTCGAGCCAAAAGCGTAGAGCCACGACCTCGTGCGAATCCGACGGCCGGCAAACGATGTCCTGGCAAACAATCATACGGACACCAGGTTACGTTACACTTTGTATCACTCGCGTCCCACGCAAAACAGTGTTTCTATTCCCTCTAGAGTGCTAATGAAATGCGTCGGCAGCACGCTATGATGATACACTAGGGATCATGAAATAAATTTCCTAACGACTAACTATAAATAGATTGTGATTCTTTGTCCGGGAGTCACTATAGTGAAACACGTGTTTCAATTAAATGGCACAATCTGTCTTGTCTCGTGCCCGCGTTCGTCTCCGATCTCAAATGTAAAATGTGTATGTGCTATAATCAATAAAATAATGTACAATTTACGTTTATACGAGCACTAGTGCTTTAATTGAATTGGTAGTTTCCATTTGTCGAGCAGGCAATCGAAATAGCTACTTTGAACATGTCCTACTCATTACAACCACGTTGATTAAAGCCATCTATATCGTGTATGTTTAATACAATTACAGGTCCCGAATATATCAGTAGCTCGTAATAAGAAAATTTTTCCATTTAATTTCTGCGGCTGAACGTTTTTTACGTTATATGTATACACACACACACAAATGCATGCATGCATGCACACCTGTATATTGTTTTATAAAATGATCAGCTCGACGGCTATCTTCTCGGTAAGTAAGTTCGTTTTTTTCGATACCTTGAAGGACTAGCGCGACGAGAAATGAAAAAAAGAAAGCTACTGAAGACGTATTGACAATCGAAATTCTATGTGTCTGGGCCTGCAACAAAAGCTCAACTGAAGAACCAACGTAATTCATATGCCAATAGCAGAATTGGCTGACAGCAGCTTTTGCTCAGGATCGAAAATGACTCGGTGCTCACTCAGATGACTATAGATTTGTGCATGGGGATGGAAGTGGTTGGTGGCTTTTGAATCTGACGTTCCCTCATAGCAGTCGCTTTGACATATGGCTCACAACCTCCGAGCTAGCTGAACGCCGTTTCCTTGACATCCCGAACGCACCGCGACGCTATTGGAAACAGATTCAGCGAGTCGGCCTACTTAGACGCGCCACTGAATTTTGCATGCGTCCAAATTCGTTGTTGAAATTCTCATTGCTAGAAACTGTGCCGAGGTGGTAAGTGTCTTTTGTAAACGTTCTGTGTAGAAAAGCATTTTCTTACAGTGGTTCACTTGTTTTTTATCTTTCGCATCTTTTAAAACGACAATAAATCGCTCACTTTTATATTTATTGCCGATTATTTTAGCGATACGTACCGTTCGAAGAATAGTTAATGGACAATTACCGCTACGAATCTTAAGATAGCTGTTATTTCAGTTAATAATACGAATATAATACTATATTTAATTAACTTAGCGGTCATGCTATTTGCCACTGGAAGAAACACTATTAGGATTTAAAACGTTTGATGAGTTGCTTCAATTTAAAAGCAGGCCTGTTCATTATTTACCCCTTAAACCGAGTCTTGTACGTTTGTGCCATAAAGGCCGTGGATTCAATGGATGTTGCGCATTAAAGATCGTCTGCATGAATGAAACGTCTGCATTTACTCAGTTAAGATAGGTAACTTGAAGTTAATACTAGTTTAATATTCCGTTAAAATTTCGTACAATTTTACAGCGAGGAAGCATGCATATAGCGATTATGCATGCAGTACAGCAGAGGCTTCATTACGTGCTTTTCAGTAACGTGTACGTCGTTAACTATTAAAAAAAATAGGGTTCAGCGATACACCTAACGACCATATATAATTCTATTGTTAGATTTTTTGCGCATCTTTCCCTGCCTATCGACGTCGAAAAAGTACTTTCGTTCTATTGTAGGGCTGAAAGAACTTCACATACTCTCGACAGTATTTGGTCTCTGAACGTACCGGTCGTAAACGTGCTACGTGCGTTGTCTAACACGTGATTGGACTTACGCACCACATGCCCAGTACTATGCGTGTATGTGCATAGATCCATGGAACGTAACGTAAACGTTGGCAAAGTTCATGGATTAACCGCTGCACCTAGTAGACCTTAGTAACAACCTAAACATAGTCTGAAAACAATGCTTACTTGTTGTAAAAAGTACACCCCCTTATAGATCTTGTCACAATATTATCGCTATTACAAAAGACCTCTAAGGAAATTTGGCAAAAAGAATCACATCAGGGAGCTAGGAAGAAATCTCGTTCTAACTATCTCAGCGCCATGACCGACAACTTTTTCATGACAACCTATATTTGGCCTTACCACCAGAACGCAGGCATGAGGTAAAAATAACGTATACTGGACAGTACTCGGCAAATCATGGTAGTAGCAATAATGAAATGTAGAGAATAAATAAATCATTTTAGTACTTGTACGATATGTGTTGACCAAGGGTGACAGATATCGTAAAAAAAAAAAAAAAAAACACTTGATTTTTATTATTTACCTGCAAGGAACAAATAGCTACGTGAGTATTTTATTCGTATGTACTGAAGATGTTCTACGCATATTTTTGCGTGGAATAAGTATTGCCTTATATTCTTCTTTTTACTGAGAGACAATATAGGTTTACGTTGTTGGCTATCTTAGTAGATAACATTTCATTATGTCCAGCAAAAATACGGTCCCGAATCGTAGTCAGCTTATGCGGTGCTCATCGTAGCTTTTACGGATTAGAGATAGTATCTCCAATGAACACACTAAGCATATCGCCGTCACTGTCGTTTTTGATTTCGAGGGAAAGCAATCCTCAGGCTTTTGACATGATGCCATGCCTTCAAATCCTGAACCTGAAATTCACATGTCCTCATGCTTAATGGCAAACAGTGCTATTTCTGCAGCACCGCGAGGACAAGCGTACTTCGCGATGTGGGTCAGTTGTCTGATACGCCCTGGACGAATGCAAGAGTGACGACAATGTATATATATATTTTTTTTATATCAGTGGGTCTAAAGTGGGAGGAACTAAGGGCTGAGCTCACTAAACTTATTCGACTGAACGTCCAGTTTCCCTGATAGTGTATTATTACTCTTATGATTACTGACGTTATTTCTACATTAGATTATATGAAAGATATTGTTTTGATTGAATATGACGCGACAGATTTTCTTTAGCCTATAACGAATAGGTATAATAGACCAGTCGGCTATAGCGGCTTGCAGGATTCGAGCTGTTTACCGTCTAATTTAATACGTACGTACGAAAGACATATTGAGTAATTTAACTGTAGGTAAGTAATATTAAGTGAAGCAAAAATCTTGTCTAGTCTGCCCTGATGATCGATGGTGATTCTTGGAGGGAGCTTGATGAGAAAACGGAGTACCCACAGTGACGTCCAACGACGTTATTTATGATGCTTTTAGAAAGCGTAGTTGGCAGCCATACTGTCTTTCTTTAGCTTTTTTTTTACGTTGTAGTTACAAGGGTATACTGACTTTTATAGGTGGGCTTAGTCATTTGTCTTTCTAATAATGGGACCACGCCAAGACGTAGAAACTCCTGGATTCAGTTAAGTCGATTGGTAGGTCTTTACCACAGCATTGATCGCTCGTGTAGCAAAGCCTTTATCGTCATGATTCACTTCTAGTCACAGAGATTGCAATAAAGTAGCAATTCGCGATTATACTACGAATATCTGCAACAACTGTTTTTACGCATGTGTAGGCTTTCTCTAAAAAAAAAAATTATAAACCTCTCCTTGGTACTAGAAGCTACGCGTGGAAGCATCTGCTTAATGTACACAGGCTTTTTTGCCATGTAAACTCGTTTTAGCAAATTTTTAGGGTACACGTTCCGCAAGTTTTCCAAGACATGCTACCAGATTACCGAGGGCATCGAGAAAATATAGGAAATAAGTAACAATAGGAGAAAACTGCGTTGCTATTTAGCGCCAGAAGTCCTATTTTTGTCTATGTGTATATTGTCCTTTGTTTACTTTTTGGGACGCATCAAAACAATCCAGAAAATATGTACTTAATATGATAATTATTTGTTAAGCGTTTTGCAACCCATTTATATAAAACGAATGCACGGGGTGTTAACGACTGAACACTAACCTAGTTATAATGGTCTGATTTAAAAAAAAGATCGTATTTTATTTTTTGTTAAATATATCCTGGGTGCGATTTGAGAACTTAAGATGTTCCCTCTGCGGAAAAAAAAATTATAAAATAGATTTAAAAAATCGAGAATCATCACTTTGCGAACAATGTAGAGCTAGAAAGGTATAGCAATTCATATTTTTAAGTATTTAAAATGACTGTTGTTGGCACGTCGACTAGCAGGAACCGCCACTTTTCTTTAACAATGCGCCGACTCCTAGAAGAGGATAAATAGGCAAAGTCCTTGCAAGGACATATAGGTCAAAAACGGTCAAGCCAATTAATAGCCTCACCACTGTTCTTACCATTAACACTGGCAAAAACGATGTAACCAAAGCAAAGCTTCCACAGTAGACGCCAAAAGACCAGTTCTCATTTCTACCGACATAGGTACGGTTGACACTACCGACACAGAAGAAAGCCATAGAGCGCATCGATATGTGTATCTGGAACTTTTCGTTCGACGCAATGCCTTTGTTCGATCTCTTAAATGTTTTTTTATTAACAGCGACAATTTGGAGCAATAAACGCTTTTATTACTTTCACTAATCTGTTCTCGGAGAATGGGTCTCGCTGTTTTGGACAGTCTGAGTTTTTATATGTGAGATTCTGGTTAATAATGCTAGCATAATTTTCTGTTATTTGGTTTTTGTAATAGCAACGCTACACTATTTGTCCTACCTAGGAGAGGCCACATGCGTTGTATACAGCCGAAAGGTTTACTGATTATAGGGAATTGCACGGCTTTATTAGCAATTCAAATGAAAAGATTTCCATACCTGATCCCCAGCTGTTCCTTTCAGATTAAGTCTCAGTACCGCTATGTACCATTGCTTCAAGGATCTATCAGGATAGCGAGAGGGCTTAATACGAGCAATCTGGAAAGAGCAAACAGCAGAAAGGATTACGACTATATTCCCGCTTTTCCTGTTGGTCAGATCTGTAGCAGAAGGCTAATATCTGCTTAGGCCCAGATTTGAATTTCCATGTTCTACATGCTAATAAGGTAGCTAGGCAAAGGTGTTACCGTTATGAAAACAATCTGAAGTCCGATACAGAGTTAAAAAAATATATATATATATATAAAAAGATATAGCATAGTATTTTTTGAAAATTGTAGTTATTTTGAAAAAGTTAGCCTATTTCTTTTTTATGAGACGAGCT